AACTGGACCATTGCTTCTGTCAACCTAAAATAAATCACTATTAAACATTAAAACCCTGAAACAAGACTATATTTCTATGGGGAATATTTCAGAGAAGTTAATAAAAGCACCACCTACACCCAAGAAAGAGGCACCTCTAAACATAAATTCACACAGCAGTGTGATCAATATAGATATCTCCCAGTTTAACAATGTACTCTACAGCAACACAATGGTTTTATTATCCCTTTCTTTCTTAAGCTAAAAAAACTAGCCATCCAAAATATAAACACCTCTCTGAAACATGTGTCTGTTGAGCGTAAATGACCATTAACTTCCTCAATTCAGACAGAAATATATTGAGGACTACATATTTTTTTTAATCAGCAGTTAAAGATACTGAAATCATCTGTGTTGTGCTGCTGCTTTCCAAACTTTAGAGTTTTCAGCAATCACTGGTTTTTGACCTGCTAATTACTGAAATATTTAAATCTAATAGCTTAGTGATTCCCTCTTGTCTAAATCTAAAATATAAATGTATTTCTTCTGCCACAGAATGGTACCTTACAACCTGGGAAAGCCACTATATCTTACATTCCAAGTGACATGGTGAATGGTTCCAGCTTTGCTGAGAAGCTGCAAGACATCTACACTAAGAATCTGCTTTTCCAGGCTCATCTCCAACAAGTGGAAAAATATGTTCAAGACCTTAATATGTGCCTGGACCTGGAGAAGGAATTTTTAGAACCTAAGGCAAGACTTAAAGCAATGTGTGATAAAGTAAAAAAACACATTCAAGAAATGAATCCCTCTATGCCTGTGCTGATAACACCTGAACCACTGCAGCAGCCCAATATGAGCACCTATTACCAGAAATGCTATGGATTGACCGTTCTAAAGAGGCTGGGGGACTGGGGAAAAAATGTAAAGTGGGTAATACTAGAGAAATGCAACATAGAACGGTGCACCTTAGAAACCTAAGGAGAAAATTGGCCATTTACTTTTCTATATTTTTTCTTATAATATTTGATAGCAAAAATAAACATTATCTCCAAATTTTATTCTTTTAAGAATATTGTGTAAGTCAGTGGTCTCCAAAGCTGGTCCTTAAGATCTACTGTCCTACAGATTGTAGATGCATCCCTGCTTCAACACAGCTGAATCAAATTATTGATTACCTCTTCAAGCCATTCATTTGAATGGAATTGTTTGAACAGCACACATTTATGTAATTGAGAGTTGAATTATTTATATATTTATAAACCATGTATTTATCTGTCATTTGATGTATCTTTTTTCTTTGTTTTTTTACTATTTATGTAATAAAGATATGGAAAAAGGGCAAAATCTGAAATGGTGAGTGATTCATTGTTATGGCATGAGATTAAATTAGTAACTAAAAGAAAACTGGCAGGTAGTGACATGCTGATTTGCCATATTTGATTAAAAAAAGTTGAAAGTTGATACTCAATATAGTGTATTTCTCTCCAAAAACACCAAAAACTGATTGCAATATACATAGTAAAAATATGGAGGGATTGTGAAAACTACCAACTTTATGGAGGGAAGAAGAGCTAAAATGGGACAAAATAAGTTGATTATCGGCTGCAGGAGAGAAAGTCTGCAGTTACAATGGCTGTGGGTTTTACAACACAACTAAAGCTGTATTCAAACTGTAAGACATTGCGAGGAAAGGTCTCAGTCACATGGACAAAATCTTGATTTCAGAAGTGTGTGTTGGGGGGGGGGGGGGCACAAGCATTTTTTTGATTTAACTAAATTCAGCGTGTTTGATCATCCAATCACAGACCTGATTCAGTGGCGCATCAGATGTTTGAAAAGTGAGCTTCACAGGAGTGACAGCAGTGACAGCCAATCACAAAAGATGGTGGTCCAATCAGGAGCTTTTGGGCGGTCTAAACTCAGGGAGGTAGACTTCAGTTTGAGCAGCAGTTTTCTGCTTGATCCTAGTGCTTGATGAATGTCTGTGTACCGTACTGTAACATTGGTTGTGGAGAGTAAAACGTAGAAGGGACCAAAAGTGTAGGAGACATAAAAAATTAATTTTTTTATGAAAATGTTCTCATCTGGTGACATTAGACCTTACTAACATAACGGGGATCATGGATTATTTTGAGCACATCTGTATACTTCAAGAGGTAACTTTGATTTAAGCCATATAGGAAATGCCTTTAACAAAACAGATGTATTTTTAAACAAGATTAAAAAAAAAAAAGGAAGTGAACACGCATGTCAAATGTTGGAAAGGAGGCACAAATAATACATTAAAAACAGGGGCCCTGAAGACCTGGGTTAAGAAACCCTGGTTTAAAGAGTTCCTGGTGCAAGGCCATTTAGGCAATTGGATTACTTTTCTTTTTTTTTTTCATTTATCATTTGAACCACAAATGAGCCTTGAGGAGAGGAAAAAAATATGTTCATAGAAATTTCACAGATGATGGGCAAGGTGAGAACTGAATGTTTTTTAAGGACAGACAAATCTTGCAATCATCAGCATAATAATGAAAAACAATACCATATTTCTCCAGAAAAGGCCCCAAAGGGCTGCGATGATAAAGAACTGGCAGTCACAGAGAAATTCATCTGTCTAAAAAAATTATTTGTATCAGTTCATACTCAAATAAGGAAAATGGTGATAACACAACAGTTGACTCATCTGAACCTACCTGATAAAAAAAAAAAAAAGATAGAACTGAGCTGTACATGGTAGAGTAAAGATTTATATTGTTTATCTGGTTGTTATCGTGAATTAAGACATCTTTTGTGTAAGACAAGGTGAAGGCCTATCATGATGAAAGTATGATGACAACAGTCATGACTTCGGTTCAGGGGCTCAAGAATTACAAATAAAACTGATTTGATGTGTAATTACAGACCCTTACTAAAGCTGTTTCAGTTCTATGTAAATGTTTAAAACCAGATTAAGAGTAAAAAAAAAAAAAAAAAAAATTAAATAATGTATCATAAGCACTTCTCCCCCTTAGATTTTAGAAAGAAAGGGAACCTTTGATATTCGTCTGAATTTCAACAGACTTATGGGTCAAGTCCAGTTTCTTTCCAACATGTGGCAATATTGTTTTATTTAAAAATCTAGAGAAGCCAATCTTACTTCCAGAAAAACAAGATAATGTCATAGAGTGACCATTATACAGTAAAAAACGTATGTAGTGCCTTGAAAAAAAGGCTGTTTCTGAGATAATGCTAAGAAATGGATAAGAACAAATGAATGCAGTCGATTCGTCCTCGGCTGGAATTACAAATTCAAAAAGGTCACATGTGCTTAAAACCATCCAGATGTAAAGCAATTCTCAGGAAGTGGTTTTAAAACTAAATAGTTTGGCAGTTGACAAAGGAAATCTTAATGCCTGTTTCAGTTTATGTAGGATCTGCAATCTAATAAATGCAAAAGTATAAATTACTCTTCATATTTGCATCAATAGAATGTGAAGTTTTGCTAATGCATAAATCAGCATGGAAATTAATGGCAACTTTGTACAGTATATGGACTCCGAGCTTTACTGTCATTTGAAACACTATTGTAATTTTGCACAAATGGTCCGAAACATTGATAAGCCTGAAGGCATGCTTTTTCAACCATACCCCTTTAATGGGAGAAAACAAAAAATCTATATTGCCATTTTAATATTGTTCATTTAATGTAGATCTAAATATATATCAAATATATTGTATAAAATGTGTAAAAAATATGTCAGTGAATTGGAATATTATAAGATATAGTTTTTTGTTGAGTGATGTATCGCTCACATTGCTTGCATCTGGGATTGTGAAGGGTATTAGAGTCAAAGTTTAAATGCATACATACTTTTTCTCATCTTAATCATGTTTCTTTGACACTGGTGTAGATCATCGGCTCAATCAGAGATGAGTGAATGCAGGTTTGCATCATTTGGGTCCAATACAGTTAAAAACTAGATACTGTCAAAAAGTGGGAGGGTGTGTTTAGTTTTTGAAACATTAAACCATCTTGTGATAAAATGTTTACTTTTTTGGGTGTGTATATGTAGGAAGATAGTTCATACTTGTTGGCATCAGTGACATCATTTCATTTTGTAAATTAACATTTTTGTATTATCTTGGGATGTTTATATGTGTTTGGGCTACCCCCTTCCCTGAGCAGGTGGTATGTTCCAGTTAGGTGAGACTTCTAAAACAGCTTGTTGTACTTTCCCTGAAGCAGCAAGCATTTTTTTTTTTTCAGGTTTTTTTTTTTTCTCCCCTTTGTCTTTTATCTAATATTCCTTGCTTTTTACAAATACATGTCAGTATTTTTCATTTTCATAAATAATATTTTCTATTAAATTATGAAGTTTGAGTTTTACATTTAAGAAAAAGTTTATCAGCCTCAGCTTTTGTAAAGGAATCCCCTCTTAGAAAAACCCATTGAATCAGCAGCAATCAGCTTTTTCTAAAGCTTTGAAGGTTTTCATTAAATGTCACGATGAGAATATATTTAATTTTAGCCATACTGGTATCCTTTATTTAAAAAAAGACAAACTAATTATATGAGTTGAGAAAATAATTCAATGGTTTTAACTTAAAAAATATATAGTTTTACTAGAATGAATCAATGATTAGAGGTTAAGAGCAAACGCACACAGGAAGAGCTGCAAGATCGATATCAGTAAGATTAGGAAAATAAGTCATCATAAGAATACCAGATAACTGGTTACCAATGTAAAGGAGATGATTCAAATTTAGGATTTTTTATATATGTATATAAAACAAAAACTACAGACGTTAGTAATAGTGATAGTTATCACAAGGTTCAGATTGAGTTTGGTGAAGTCCATAAACGTTTATTGTTTTCCTGTTTGCTTTTTGCAGTATTTCCGTTTGTAGAAGAGACAAAAATTATGCTAAGTTGCTGACCTAATGAACGAACTCTGTTATGAACGAGGATATGAAGAAAGTTTATCATCAGTAAATCTTCAACACGCCTCTTTTAGCCAGTGCATACATATACTTGTAATGCGGTTCGACTGAGGTGCAGTCACTGTTACAGTGCCAAATAAAAATGAAATACATACCAGGTACAGTATACCATAAACTCACTTTTTTCCCCCCCACCACACATCAGTTGGTATCTTTAGTGTATTTATTGACTTTCTTGAAGTACTTTTTGGTCGTAACTGTTTAAAAATGTTGATATTGTGCACCTATTTGCAGGTCTACTTGGGGTGGCATGTGCCTACATGCTAATCCTGGTGGAGGGCTTGGCTGAAAGAAATGGATCCAAAAAACATATTGCTGGAGGAAAATGTTACTTGAAAGAGCTGGCAGCCCTCACAAAACATCAGGTGGAAGAAAGCTTGATAAGTTTTGTAAGTATGAACTGGTGCAAATACCTTTAGCATGTTTGGGTTACATATTTGGACTATTCTTTGGCAGTATAAATCCTCAATTGCAAAATTTTTACTTTTGTTCAAACAATCAGCTTGCAATTCGAAAGTAAAAGAAAATATTCTTCATGCTAATATGTACATATATAATTTCAGAAGTCTTGAAGTTGTTAAATGTTCCATTTAGTAGCTGAAATACATAACTTTTAGTAGATATGTCCCTAAAATTAATTGTATATATGTCTAAAGTTAGATTAAATGCAGTGGTGGATGAAGTACTCAACAGTAGTACTTGAGTAAAAGTATTGATACTCATAGTCAAATCTTAATCAACAACAAGTAAAAGTTACTCGGTCACACATCTACTCAAGTAAAAGTATTGAAGCACTCACTTGTGAGTATTCAAAAGTATGTGCATTTATAAGTACTTAAGTATTCAAAAGTAAAAATCTAATTGTCTAATATCAGTAAATTTCTGTATAATTTTCAGAGTAATTTTAAATAACTTCATAACTTTCAGAAACCAAATTAAATATTGATGCGTAGAACTACTTGCTACAAATTCTTCACCAGCTGTAAAGAACGTCAGCATAAAAATGCCACAAAAAAGGAAAGATATTTTATTATTCCTTATTTAAAAAAAAAAGAAAAGAAAACAAGAGTACCTTGATTATATCTCCTCAAACGTCCGCTATGGAATAGAGGTTTAAAGTTGAATCCATTGCCACAACTCTTGTTTGAGAACTAATCCTACTGAACAACTTGGTCAAATGGCAACAACTAACACCTAATTCATGTAATGTCATCCAAATCTCTAAAACAGTGGTGTCCAAATTCTTTTTAACGTTAAAATGTAATAGAATGAAAGTTATAAGTACCCCCCCAAAAAATGACTCCAGTAAAGATACTCCAAAAAGTACTTATGAACAGTAATCAAGTAAATGTACTAATGTACTAACCATGGATGTTCTTAGAGGTCTTATCTGGGTCTATATAAAATGATCCACAACTTGACTGATATTCATCTTAATGCTTAAAACAAAGGTGCACTCTGAGGAAATGAGTACTTACTGGTGCATAGCAGACTAAGAAATTAGTCATCATCTCATCCATAGACAATATTTATTAACGGTGAAGTCATGTAAAAAAAGAGAAGTAGCACTAAGTCTTATGTGCTTTGTCATTAACAATATCAGTAAAATTAGTACTGGATCTCTCTTTCAGGATAAAGCCAATGGACAACACCTTGGTACTTGGCTGCCTGGCTTTCCTGAGCTACAGGTCCACAAAGATTCTTTCAATGGGCCAAAAGTGCAGTGCAGCCTGACATTCATGGCTCTAGGCCTGGAGAAGATCTTGGAGGATCAGAAGAACGACCTGAATCCAACAGATGTTTTACTTCACAAGATGCTTTGGAACACAATTTCTCGGGTCATGATGCTTAAAGCTTGTATGGAGGATTTTCTCAAGGGCAAATGCCCCGAGGATCCATTGCCACCAAAGATGCCTAAGCATGTGTTTGATAGGAAACAGTGGAGCCACACTCTGTTGAAGTCAGCCAAGAATTATCTGGACTGGATGGAACATAAAATCATAGTTTCAAAGGCCAAAGAGTTTAAAAAGAAAACAAATCAGGTTAAAAATACTACATTACATAAGTACATTAGGGGGAGTGTTTATCATTTGTGATCTCAATACGTCAGCTAAAAAGGCTGATCTAGTTACAATTAATGCATCCCAAAATATTTCCCGCATCAATTTAATCAGGAATTCTCTTTTTAGTATTTCCTAAACCTCGGCTGATCGGACCCCCGTATTCGTCTTTCAAGTGCAGTGTGCGAGTTTAGAAGCAGTTGGCCGTATTTAGCCATCGCGCAAAAAGCTTCCAGTTAGCTTAGCATTACAAGGAAGAAAAAAGTTCAGTTAGAAACAGTTTTAAACTTCAAATTAAAATAGTATTTCTTTTTTTTGGGAACAAAAACATTCACACATTTTAAAGTGTTTCAGTTAAGCTAATTGATGCTAGTTTAGGCTTCTACTATAGCCTATGAATGCAGGCCACTTCACCTACTGTAAGTGGACCAGTTTACAAAATAAAAAAGACGTGGCGGTATCAGAAAGGGTTTTATTTTATTAAATTTGATAACCCCCAGCAATTGACACATTCCTGTATGACTGTAATTAATCAACATGCCAGGGGATAAATGAGAGGGGACTCTTAGCGTTTCCTAATTACAGATGGTTGTTTTCTTAGCCTTCATGGTGATTAATTGTTTCGCTCCGGCCACATATCTCTCGTGAGTTGGCCACACTGCCTGAGGGAGAAAGTTAATCTAAAAGAATCACCTTCTGAGAGCTCTTGGTTTAGACTTTAATCAACAAACCTAGCAGAAAAATTAGCAGCCAGATGGATATCACAGAAGTTGATGTCCGTGTGGCTTGCATCAAATCACACTGTAAAAACAGATGATTGATGCTGGGCCCATCCAGGTCGCAATAAGGGGATCATTCATTATTTATTAGTTCTTTTGAACTACTGTCAATGTCCAAAATGTGTATATTAATCCATTTTATTTTATCATATGCATGCTGTTTGCTCACAAAGTTTTTTTCTGGTTTTGCAATAAAGTGGTCATTTAAAAATATTTTAAGTGTGATTCAATTCCACGGCATTTTAATTTAATCGCTAACTGATATCGGCAGTTATCACACAAAAAACAGAAGAATTTGTTTCACAGTCACTTTTTATTAAATACCTCTTACAGTATATATGCATGCAATACACACAAAAGCACCAACACATTCTTTGCGGTTTTAGTTTAGTCCAAAAAGCAAACAAACAGATATGTTAAGATTAAAACTGTTTCCATAATATGGACATGTTCGAAGCAAAACCTGATGAGTAAGCTGTCTTTGCAGGGGACTTGATGATCATCACGGATGAATGTATGAGGCGTTCTATGCACTTATGAAGTGTAAATATTACAATTTGCAAACTGCATTTGACCATCTTTCTGAGGTCGGAGTTTTTGAACGTCTTCATCTAACCGAAATAATGCCAAACCGTCCAAAACAGTCTTCATTTTGTTGAGTCTTTTACTGAAAATTTGTCTTTTAAACAACCCAGTGTTCAGATTGTTCGTCTAGTTCATACGGGTAGGAGCTCTGGAGGACTTTCACCGTAGCAATATTTTGCTTGAGGGTTTCGATAGGTGTTCTCATGCTGAACACTCTGAGCAGAAAGAGAGAAAAAGAAGATGGACAGTTAAACTTTAATCAAGATCTACTTGAAACTCAAGATTCTAACAAGAGTGTCAAAATATTTTTAAGGACTCGAGAGATAATAAAAGAGACAATATGTGAATACTAATACATATATTAATTAAAATTTCTACAGGAAACAAATGAGACAACTCCAATCACAGAGACAAAAAAAAAAAAAAAAAAAAAAAAAGTTGTGCATGGTTTTTAAATCTTATCTTGATTTCATAGATGATAATGCATGCAAAATGTTGACTTCAACTATCAGCATAAATTTGTTTGGTAAGTGTGGGGAGAAACACTCACCCAAATTTCCCACGGATATAAAAAGTCCACACACTGCAGTGAAAATACCCACTTTTTGTGATGAAATAAATGACTATTTCCACTCTTTCTTAATCTCTAGAGTCCTCTATGGCTGTAGATTCATAATTGGCTAAAAAAAAAAACCCATCCCATTATCAAAACAACATCATATGCAGAAAGGAATAGTGGTGGAAGCATTAGGGTTTGGGACTATTAAGTAGGATACTGGATTCTTAGTTAAAAAACAATAGTTGAAGTAATAATTAAATCCAAATACCAATCAATGTTGCCTCAATATTCTCAAGGTTCTGCTAAAAACATGAACATAACCCAAATATTAAACTCCAAATCATAAAAAAGATTATGGTTTGAAAATCAGTAGTGCTAGGATTAGGGTGTTAACTTTTTATATCCGTGGTATAATTTGTTCCATCATTAATGCAATGTTATACTTTTAAAACATGACCTGTATTTAGCTGATCACGTACTTGTGAAGAGGTCCTACACTTGGCCAGGCACAATTCGAAATGATCCTCCACAGCGGTGAAAAGATTCTGGAAACCTTTAGCTGCACGATTCAGAAAGTGCTCAAGCAGAGGTTGCTGGGTAAAAGTATACAGATAAGGTATTGATCAATTGCTAAGAGTGCATGTTGAAAAAATATATTTACGCAGAAAATTGAGGAGATGCTGATGACGGTTATTAATCTTGATGTTGTGGAGTTTGAGGTGACAGATTACCTTATCAGGCTGGAGGCAGCAAGACACGCAATACTCATAGATGCTACAGCAGCCGTTGGCGAGACAGCTTTTACAAATGTACTGCCTGGTGCTGGGGGCATTGATGTTACAGCAGCCATTAACCAGCAAGTCCTTTCTCTCGCACACATAACCTGTCAAACGAGTGGAAGGATTGATTATAGGTAAAATGTGGTGTTATCACTGCAGCGATGGTGAGTAATAGCTGCGTTATTTACCAAGTTCATCTGTCAGCAATATCTTGCCCTGGATGGAGTTTCTGCATTGAGTAATCTGACGGCTGCTGTTCCCCAGGTTGAAACGCACTTTCCAGGCGATGCGATGGTCTGAATCTTTAACTTCTAAAAGTGTGCGGTCCCGCAAGGACCTCTCCTCCTGTAAAATCAAAGCAGCAAAAACAAGTGTCATAAAATACATTAAAGAGAAAAAAAAGAAGACATTTTTATCTTTTAACATTGAAACATGCAATCCATCTGAACACCAGAAAGTCCAATTTCGAATAAAATCTAAATGTTTTTTTTTTCAAACTCTTTACTTCCGATTTTTTACTTTTACATCTCCAATTCCATCGATCTCAACGAAAACCTTTTAATCAAGTAATCAAGAAAAAGGTAATAATTGACATAAAGACGCATGTTTCCTCGTTAAAATCATGATTGGCCCCTCGTATGTTTTAGTGTTATGTGTGATAATACTCAGCTAATCTAATCAGAAAAATAATCAGTTTTCCCATGCATAATATATCAGATAATTATTGTGTTAAAGAGTTATGGAAAGTAACATTTTGTAATAAACTAACATAAATAAAAGTGATAAAATTCTGTTAGGCAGGCAACATAACATCCATACATCATCTAAACCAGGGGTCTGAAACCTATACAATCCAATTTATATATATATATATATATATATATATATATATATATATATATATATTTATTAGGGATGGAACGGTTTATGCAAACCGTCCGAACCGTTCGGTTTGACTGTCTCGGTTCGATTCGCGTGTGTTTCGTTCGGTTCATGCGCTGCTCCTTTTTCTCATAGGCGAAGCGTTTACACTCCTGAGCAGAAGGTGGCGCTACTGCGACCAAAGCCAACCACCAGTAGTAAACAAGAAGCGAAGCAGCAAAAAATTGTCACTTTTTAAACACCACAAGGGAAGCGCCAGGGCATACAACAAAAAAACAACAAATGTATCCAACAATCATGTTTCTGGGATGTGGGAGGAAGCAGAACATCCAAAAGAATAAACATATAGACATGCAAGAAGAGCTCAGATTGGGATCTAAACACAGGATCATCACCTCTCTTTCTAATGCATCTTAATTACACATATTTACTGTATTTTGTTGTGTCAGATCTTAATGATCAGTTATAATGTTAATTTTGTTTGAAGCTTGATTTTTTACAACCTGTTCAGCATCTTTCTGTTGCATGTAAACAAATGTCCATAGTAAGGACTGGGACTATGTACAGAATGCTTCCTAACAACCTGTTTCTGCATAAAGTATATGGAGTAATCTGTTTGATTATCATTATCTTAAGCCAAAACAGAGAGGTATATTGTCAATTTAATATTCATATAGATACACTGGTAACTTCAAATTAAAGTTAAGAATGAATTTAGAGAATAAGCTTAGGATTTCTACCAACTGTGCAACCACTAACTTCAAAAGTACAGCTATTTTTCAATGTGTAGGTTTTTATTCAAAAAGCTAAAACTCAATATGTTTTTTTTTTTATATGTCAGATTATGCATCTGTATTAAAAGGTGAATCTATTGTAAGCATTTTGTAATTGACCAGTAATCCCATTAAATCTGTCCAACACTGTACTCCTCCTGTCCCTGATCTAACGCCCCCAGACTCTGAAAAGGATGAACCCATCTGCTCAGGTGTGTCTCTGTACCTGTTTTAGTGTGCTGGTGAGAAAATAGATGAGGGACAATCCGAAGACCACCCCCAGCACCCAGCGCTTCCTCAGTAACCTCCGTAGAACCAACATCATAGCATGATTTTTCGTGGGAAAATGCAGGCGACAGTCCAAACCATTAATCCTCCTTGGGTATTAATTCCCCCCCGACCGTCTTCAGCTTCGAGATATTACAAGCTATGTTTCAAATATGTGCAAAATGCATTAAAAGCTAAACTTTAGCTGCCTGTCAGAGCTATGAAGTTAGATCTTAGCTAACCCATGTTGCGCTTTTACCATTAATTTAAAACTGATATTGCCCCCCCAGTAAACTAATAATTTTAATTATGCAGCGATAAAATAAATAAAGACATTCGAGCTAGCTGTGTTCCATAATAGAATCTCGCTTTGTCAGCCTGCTAAATAGTTAGCTTTCGTTAGCATTAGCCTTTGGCAGCCAGTAACTATAAAGATACGCTAATATTATATAACAGTGTCTAATGGCGGCGATTTATCTTATTTGGTGAAAATGTTCATAGAAAAAAAGGAAATTCCCAGAATTGAAAGCGGTAAGCGTTGTGTTTCTACTGCGAAATCTTAAATGTGTCAACAACATCAACGCGTATCTGAAAAACGGATGTATGCTGACGTTATACAGGAAGTTTTCCCATCATCATCATCAGGTGCTAAATGTTTTTAATTACATGAATTACCTTAAGAAATTGATAGAAATAATATAAGATTTAATAACTTACTTATTATATTTTTATTGTATTTATTTTTTTTTTTTGTGGGAGAATTTATACATAACATCCCGATCCACAATCCATTCCAGTAGATGGCGGTAATGCACATCAATAAGTTGTTTGCCAAGCACCATAAATAAAGAAGTAGAAGCAGCTAACGGGTAATCCATGAAGCTAACGCAGGTAAAGTAGCTATGCATGCTAGCTAGGTAAACAATATAAGCTGAGCCAAGATAACCATGGTGCTTTGGTTTTTATCTTTCCAGGGCTGGGCCATGTGGTGAGGCCATGCAGAGGAGACACAGCAGCAACACGGATGGCATGCCCTCTGAAAGGTGGGAGAGACGCACTGCTTGAAGGCTGCCCTTAACCCTTTACAGGGCCCTTAGTGAAATACTTTGCAAATCAACATTTCAAGCCAATAGTGTTATTAGAATCATGGACAAAGCCTTATTACCTTTGTAACATAATATATAGATATATAGATATTTAGTTTGCAAAATAAATGTCAATGTAATAACAAGAAACGCCAACTTGCCTGAATATATTAAGAAAATAACAAGTGCTTCTATAAAAAAATCCATGAGAAGAAATACTAGCACTTTTTTTTGTTTATAAACCTAAACCTAACTATTCAATTAGCTTTTTAACTTTTTTCCCCAACTTAATTTACAGTAGGTAATATATCATTCAAGGGCTCATCTAATTGGTCAAATGCCAAAATAAGATATACAGCCATGTAGCAGTGTCTTTGCTGAGTGGCTGGATATAGATCTTGTGCTTCTAGACCTCACTGAGGGATGGGGGATGTGAGGAGGGTGCAAGTGATCAAAAATGGTAACTTGCCCTATAAGGGGTTATGGTTCAGCCTGCTGGTTTTCATGCTGCCAACCTGTCCTGGATGATAACTTCCCCTCATGATAGGAAATGGGGCACATTCCCATGGTCACCCTTTTTCAATTCTAAGGATCTGGAAGGGGTTTCTTTTAATACCATGTACAAACAGTAATAGTGATGTTTAGAGGGATGTGTACTCAGTAGCAGATTTTTTTTTTAACAACCAACTAAATACTTTTATTTCCAATTTGAAACAAATGAAGATATAAGGACACAAAATATGGAGAGCAGTTTCTTTCTAAAATCCATTAATGCTATTACAGATAGATTGTTAAGAAATGATCCATCTAATAAATACATTACCCCATGATATAAAACCTACTTTATATTAAAAAAAAAATCTATATTTTTAGCTTATTTTAATTCAGCCAGTTTCCAGTTGGTATATTTCTAATACCAGCTAAGGTGGAATCGCTCACTTCATTGTGAAAAAGGGAAGTCCAGATTTCTGCAATAGATGCTGTGGCACATTATTATTAAAGGAAGTAATGTAGTTTCTGTCTGTGGTTTATTTCTCCAGTACACCGTTTTTATTGAGATGTAATTATTTTTATTGTCTTATTTGTTTCAACTTAGAAATCGAAGCCAAACTCTGGGGTCGGAGAGCAGCCTGGATGACGGAGGCGTGTTTGACTGCCTGAAGCCTGAGTCGTCTGCTTCACCCCAGCAGATGTTCTCAGGCCTGGTGGGCGTCCCGTCCAGCTCTGTCTCGTCTGCTCATCTGCAAGCAGCTGGTTTATTTCTAGGCTCCCCACCTGAAGTTTTTATCCAGATGACTGCATCTTCCAGGGAAGAAGCAGGCAGCCATAGAACAGAGGGCAGACCGTTCCTCACCCGGCCGCCCCAGCACTACCACCACCACTTCCACCACCAGCCCCTGCAGCACAGAACATCATCTCTGCTTCAGCAGGCAACCACGGCAGCAAGCTCCGAGAGGCACGGCTCCAGGGAAGACGCCCAGGATGAGCAGTCTACCCCGGCTCCAGCTCTGTTGGAGCTGAAGTCTGTGGTTACATGGCTGCAGAGGGGCTTTCCCTTTATCCTCATCCTGCTGGCTAAAGTCTGCTTTCAACATAAACTAGGTATCACATAATAGGAAGGTATTTTAAGCACAGCATTTTTATAAAACAGACGGTCCTGTGTGTGTTTACCAGGTTGTCTTTCTGTTTTCTTACAGGTATCGCTGTGTGTGTGGGAATGATCAGCACATTTGCTTATGCCAATTCTACATTTAAGCATCAAGTTTCACTGAGGGTAAGAAAATATAGAAACTCATACACCTTTTAGTGACTTAAACAAGTTAGATGTTGATTTGTTTTTGCTGCTATTACATCTCATGAAATGGACCAAAGCCCTGTGACCTGCTAAACCTTCTTAGTTTACAGATTGCTTGTTGATACCTTCAAATTCTTCAAGCTTTCTATTTTCTAACAGTCCAACTTATTATTTCTTATTGAAATGGAACAAACTGCTGGTTCCTGTTGTCAGTCTGCATGGAACAGAGTGAATTATTATGAGAACAGCTCGATTATCTGTGAATCTCTGGACATTTATCGGCGCATTTGTAAAGCTTACTGCACTTTTCTCTGTTTTTTGCCACTACCTGTTGAAGGAGGAGCGATCCATGTTTGTGGCTCTTTGGATCATCTTGTTTCTCGGGGGGAACATCGTATATATCTACTACTGCTTCAGCCAGGAGGAGCTGCACTATAGGTTAATGTAAGCTAAGGGGCTCTTATATAGGAGGTCTTTTTTTTTATTTATTTTTTTTATTTTTTTTTTTATCCATCAAGCTGTTTTTGATTTGCTTTATGTTGAAGTTATCCCATCATGTTATGTTTTCACTTTCATTTCTTTTAGGAAGAGTTTCAGTTCATGTCAGTCATGTCCTGTGAGTATTTTATTGTTTTAAAGTTTTTCTTTAAGTTTTAATGTTCCATTTTTCATTTCTCTTGCTTCTCTAAGTGCCATCATGAGTAAAATAAGGCCTTTTCATGAATAGTTTAAATTATTCTGGACCTTTTATCTCTAGCCTCATATTTGCGAAGCCCAACCTCAACAGCTTTGACTTCTTTGATCTGATCTGGGCGGTTGGAATCACCGACTTCGTCCTTAAATACGTCACCATCGGCCTGAAGTGCTCTGTCCTCTTTCTGCCCAAGATGATTATGGCCTTCAAGTCAAGGGTAAGAATTCGATTATATTAGGTTTGTTACATGAGATAACCAAGAGCTAATGATTTATTACGGCTTGAAAAAGCTGAAATTATTAAGGAAAGGGTTATTCTTTTGTTTTCCTTTTTTCTACCAAAACAATTATTTGTATTCATTCTTTCTTAATTCGTTTCCTTTCTCTTTCTAATGAGAAATAAATGTTACTCAGTTATCTGATTGTCATTTTCTGTGTATTTGTTTATCTCTCCGCAACTTCTTAGAAACTTTATCAGCCTGATCTTTGGCAGTTATATCATTTTTCTCTTTTTTTTCTTGTTTATTTTATAGAGATGCAGGCTATAAATTCTACCTAATTCACTAAAGGTCTACATTAGGGGTGTCTAAATTCTGGCATTGGGGACCATTTGGACCAATTGCCTATGGTCTAATTTTTGTGCAAGTGTTGAAGCAACTGGGGATATTTTAGTTTGAAATCAGGAAAAAAATATAACCAGCTAACTAAAATCTAATAATATCACTGAAGTACTCTTTAATTTCACTTTAAACGTAATATTTATTTAATGACTTCAATGGAAAAGCAGACTTTGGTGCTTCTAAATTTATTAAAAACGAGCTAAATATGCATTTTATTTTAATAAGACAACTATACAAAACCCCAAACTGGTCTAACATTAACAGTTAAAAAAACATTAATGAAGGAGAGGAAACTACAACCTTTGATTGGAAGCTTCGAAATATGAAGTGTTACTAACCTGCTTTTAATTAAGATTTTCAAAAGTTTCATTAAAGTTCACTCATTTCTGCACATTGAAAAGCCAGAATTCTAAATAGTGGAAAGTTCATGGTTCAGAAAAAAGAAAAAAAACTTTCAAAACTATGACGAGAAACTCTCTTGAGTAAAGAAAGTGCTAAAGGGTCACAGTGTGAAACTGTTTTTTATTCATGAGCTTTTTAAATGCTACTCCTTAGGTGTGCGGTTTTCATGTAGGTGTCTGCTTGAGTTTTTTTTTTTTTTTCTGGCCTGAGGCAGAAGAATATTGTCTGTAAGCGCACACACACAGACACACACACACAGATTGATTTCCATATAGGTGCATGTCCGTGTGTGTTTGTGTGCTCGATAGAAGGTGGTGGCAGCGAGGAGATGAGTGATAAAAAAGTATTAGGATTACATTTTCCACTGACAAACAAACCTGTAGGCATATCGGGATCACTTCAGCAAGCAACTGAGCTCATTTACCCTCAGGGAGGGGGGGTTACTGGGGTGAGGTCATCCCTCCCTGGAGCTGGACCATTACCTGTTTCCTCCACTCATACACAAACACGTGCGCTCTGTCATTTACAGGCATTACAAGCTTATAAAAGAATGTTACATTTTAGGTTTTGGGAAATCCCGAATTATCTCAGCAATTCTAATTTAGTCAAATATGTATTTATTTTTATATGCATGCAGCGTAGAAGTAAATAAAGATTGCTGCAGTCAGCAGCTTCTGCTGCTTTAAGTAGATCAATGCGATGCATCAATTTTATTACTTGTTGCATAAAGACAAAGTTGTTTTTACTACTCAAATGGCTCCATATGTTCCCTTAGTGCTATTTGCCCAAAGTGCAGGATGGATTAGCTGACAGCTAAACCCATAATTTAAGAAATTATTCAAGTCAGGAAAAGTCGTCTTTTCGATTGCTTCAGGTCAAATTAATTGGAAGGTATTTTAATTTTTTTTTAGAAAATATTGAAACATTCAATGTTTCATTTATTTTAAGGGTTATGTAAAACAAAACTACAAAGAAAATCACTATAAAGTATTTTTTGCCTTGCTTTAAAAACAATTTTTTTTATGTTCTGTCAGTACTTTTAATTTTGCAGATACATCTTGAACTCCACTGCTTTAGTATGTATATTCAGCCTCATGCATCAACATTTTCATATTCTTGTCTTAAATTTCTGACCTTTTCTCCTAACACGATGCTCCTGCAAACGCGCCACAGGAGATTCTGAGTCAGTGCATAAGTGAGCAGGGGTTTTTTGGAAATGCAAATCTGCATATTACCGCCCCAATAATGTCATATAAGTTTTCGACTTCCTACGCTTTCAGAAGGTGTTCATTAACCAACAAGGCATTGAAAACTTAAAATTAAAACTTGACCGGTTTGGAGATCGAGGTTCTTCTGACTGAGAGCTGAGTGACAGAATTAAAGGACCAGTAAAAAGCCAAGCAGTGGGAAATGAATTACTTGTGCTGTAAATAACCTGGCTGCACTGATACTGAAGTAAAAAATAAAATAAGAAAAAAATAATCTAAAGAAAGAAAATTAATTTAATTCAAAAATAGTAAATGAAAATTACTGATGAAGGCAAGAGTTGCAACATATAAATGCTAAATGAGTTTATCAACCAACACAACAATATTGTGTTAAATCTCCTTTTAATCCACACACACACCTGTACTGTACATCTCCAGATGATGTCTGTCATCCCTTCATCACACTCTCCATCTCTCTTATAGAAAGTATAGTAAAACTAGCATTTAAAATTGCAGGGTTGCATACAATATAAGGATGTAGTGCAATAAAATTGACAGTTACTTCTATTTAACAACAAATGTAGTCATTTAGTTAAAAACTAGCTGACTGGTTGGGCAAGAGTCCTACCTCAAGTCTGGATGACAAATGGGGAATTTTCCCCAAATCACTCACTTCAAATGTTTAAGAACAAATTTGTTCTAACGGGCGGTTCTTCCATGAAGTCCATTGATTAATGGCTAAGCTAGAAAACATCAAAAAGGAAGGCCATTAGCACAGAATGCATTATATTCACATCCATGTAATTAAATTATGGAAAACGGATGGAGTTCTACATGAGAGAGAAAAGGTAAAACATTTTGATTTTGAATAATTCTGTGATTTAAAAGGCTCTCTGAGGTTAGTATCCTAGAGACCTAGCCAACCCACACCCTGCAGAGGGATTTTAAAAGTGCTAAAAAAAAAAAACTCTGGCAACATTTGGTACAATTTCATTTTTCTTCTGTTGATGTGTGGTCTGTTCCCTGTATGCTATTTTCTTTTGCTTACATTTAAGAATCTTTCTAATAAAGAAACTTTCCTCTTTTGTTACCTTCCACAGAGCTCAAACAAATGTCCTTCATTAATGATTAATAGTACTCCATCATTTTTATCTCCAGGGTAGTGTTTTCTTTGTTTGGGTTTAGTCCAAATTCTATACACCCCTATAGCTGAACTACTGGTGATCCCATTTATACATCACCCAGCAGAGCTATTCAGTGTCTGTTTTATTGGATTTGTCCCTATGACTTTATTTTTCAAAAAATACTTTGGAAATGGCATCTGTTCTTTAAATACCGATGGAAAGACCATCTGTGACTTATTTATATTCCATACACTCAATAGTTATGTATTGTATGGCTCTAAAACATGTTTTCACTTTAATTACTTGTCACTATGTTTTTTTTGTTGCTGGTTGGGTCTTGGAAGGTAAATACTATATGAACTACATTCATATTTGCTTTGACATAAAAAATGTTATGTTTGAATTAATTAGGGGATGAACATTTCCACATGGAAGTATATAAATGCATTGCTATTTTTGTACTTTAATCACATCCACCATTAAATAAATTTTCTCACAAGAAAACAATTGGAAAATGTCTTTTAAAGTAAATAAAGGTATTGATAGTTTTGGCATAAATATTTTCTATATTAAAAGCTGTTTTAGAAGTAAGGTGGAGATAAACACATTGATGAATTTAAAAGGCAGAAAACTTAAACAGAGCCTGAAGTGCTGCCTTCTCAAAGCGACTGGCTTGTATCCAAACTTTAAATTTGACAGTTTTTGCGTGGGCGTGATTGGCACCATGGGACGTGAGGCGAAGCTGAACAATAAGGAAGATGAATTAGCAGTTAGCAGAGGTCTTCCTCCCCTACCGACCTTGCTGCTTGTGCCTCTTTACACACAGTCATCAATCTTTGTCTTCTGCCGCGCACGAAGTCATTATGCAAGCTGAGATGCCACAGGGGCCAGTGGGGAATCAAGTTTTCCTCCATTTACCAACCTCTGTTTGTCTTTTTTTTTTTTTTCACCAGTCACTTAATGCACTTTCTAGCTGTAGGGACAGAAGACTGTTTCTTCTTTGTGATTATTAGGGGGGAGGCCCTTCAAAGACAGTTACTGAGCCCCCACAGGGTTGGGTTTAAAGTGGGCACAGGGGTAGCAGGTGGAAAGAAGTGCTGCCAGTTTCCCTTGCAGTGCAGGAAAATTGCCTGTACTGCTGTGAAGCTGCTGAGATCTGGACAGCGGCCATGTTTGGGCCGGAAGCGTGCTGTTTTAAGCTTTTAATACCACACTGCTCTTGACTAGATAGAAAAACGCCCTGAAGCTGCTAAGCTCTTTCTGGATTTTGACAGCTTCAACAAAGGAAACCAATTGTCATCAATTTGAATTGTTTTCAAAAAGTTTAGGAAAAGCTGGCATTCACACATTTGATGGCTCGTTAAAATGTTTGCCTTCAGATTTATAACTAACTTAGTGCTCGATAACTGGGTCCCTTTTCTACCATTTAAGGTGCTACTTTTCTGTTGTTTTCTAGGGTAAGTTCTATCTTCTGATCGAGGAGCTGAGCCAGCTGTTTCGGGCTCTGGTGCCAGTGCAGCTGTGGTATAAGTACATCATGGGCGAGGACCCGTCAAACAGTTACTTCCTGGGAGCAGCACTCATCATCATCTACAGCCTCTGCAAGGTAAGCAAGACCTGGGAGTAAGGATATTCATTTGGTACTTGACAAAGATTTTGTAACTGATGCTTTTGGGACTTGAGTTTACAGTCTTTAGGGGGCTGGGCAATTAACTGCATTTGCAGTACAATCGCAATTGAATAAAACGCAATTTTCGAATCTCAGAGACCATCCTTTTTTTGTAGTGGTAAGTCGCTTAACATGGTTAAGCGTAACATTTGTGTGAAGCGCTTGACAGAAACATTACGGTAAAGTCCTGTAGCGAACTCAAGATGGACAAGAAAGCTTTCAAGGTCATGAAAAAAACTGAAACCTTGAAATAAAATATCTACAAGATTAAGAAAAAAAAGGCTAAATAAATCGCCGTAATGGTTACAAAATAAAAAATATAGATTTTTGGCAGTCGTTCAGCCCTAATTAGGCCTTATTTAGACTCATTCTCAGCTGGAGCTGCATAATATATTAACTTATATTGTGATGTAACCTACAATTCAAATAATCAGAATTTGAATTAATAAATCAAATGTTACAGTCTTTGCAAATATTGGGACTTGATAATTGCCAAACAGACACCCCCTCTCCCCCATCACAAAAGGAGGCTTCATAAGCAACGGGATATATCGCTCATTACGGTGACGTATACTAACATATTGATGGAAAGGTGAATGGAAGGAAAAGATGCAGAAGAAATGGTTCCACAAGCAATAATCATCCACCCCACAGATTTATCCGTCTCTCCAAAGTTCACTTTTCAGCCAAACATAAATTCTGTGTTTCCTTTTTAAGGTCCAGAGTAAACTTTCCATAGTCACTGGAGATCTACCTGGATATGTTGCATGCATGCCTGCAAACACACTGAAAATCATCCATATGAGATTAAAGGTCAGGTTATTGACCAACAAACTCTTCTGACTGACATCAAAAAACCCCTTTGCAATGGGCTGCCTGGAACAGACTGACAGATGTCAAACAAGCGGTAAAAATAAACAGCCGGTTTTGTTCAAATAATGAAACTAAAAGGTATTTCTAGAACAATGAGTCAAATTGAAGTTGTTTTTAAACTCTTGAGTCCATGGAACTGAAATGTGACTCCCTGGATGATGCAAGCCTTATTGTCACAGTGGGGGATGTGTCTTTTTTACATCAGGAGTCGATCCTTTTTAGACTGCAGTGATTCAGCACCTGTTGCTTTGATGACTGGCCTCATGCCTGAATCAGATGGCTGGTTTCCTGTGAGCACTGAGGTGTTTTCCAACATCAGCCCATTATAGCGCTTTGTTGTCAGAGCGTGCTAATCTGCATCTGTCGTTTAGTCAGCATTGTTACTTAGGCCCCGTCCACACGAAGACGAACCCTGCCCTAAACGCACAAATTTTTCACCAAACTAGCCTCTCATCCACACGAAGCCGGCGTTTCGGGGGTCTGTAAACTATCTTTTTTTTATTCAGCCTTCAGAGTGGGAAGATTTCGAAACGCCGTTTTCGTGTTTCCATCTTTACGCTCTAACCGCATATTTTTTTTTACACGCATGCGTCATAGCGTCGCCTCTTAACACGCATGCGCGACCAGTATCACAACAACAATGGCGCCGTTGCTGCTAATGCTACTCACCCTGCTGTCGGGCTTACAACAGAATCTTCTTCTTCTGGAATATCTCCAGGAAGAACAGAGCAATATCGACGACATAGTTCAGCACCTGAATTTGACTTAACCACGAAAATGGACCCGCAGGGCAACCATGTATAAATATTAGTGCGCATGCCCAACATTTCGTCGCTTATTTTTGCTTTGGCACCACAGCGCCACTTACAGGCCTGGCATACATTTTGCAGCGTTTTCATGCATTCGTGTGGACGCTCACATTTATTTTACGTCTCCGTCTTTACGGCAAACGTTTTGGAAAATATCAGCGTTTCGTGTTCGTTTTGACTTTGTGTGGACGGGGCCTAAGTGAGATTGCTGGGTCACGGTAAAGTTTGAATAACAGCAGCAGGGAGCGTTAGAATTAGGTTGGTGGAAAGCAATTTAAAGTAAACTGGAACAACTTCCCCAAAAACATACACTGAAACTGAGTTTTATTAATTTAAAGCTTTATAATTGGTAAAACTGCAAAGAGGGTGTCTAACAAACCAATTTACTCATGTTTTGTGGTGCTACAGCCAGAATAGTTGTATTTTATTTGGATGTCATGCTAAACACAGAGCTAGGGCTCCAACTAAGAATTGTTTTGCTCATCTGTTAATCCTTTGATTATTCTTTCCATTAATAATCAAATAGCAAAAAGGTTCCTCAAAGAATTTTTTTTGCAAATTAAACCAGGTGAAACTATAATTTACCACTTGAGGAGTTCTGGGTAGAACATATTGACACTTTGTTTTTATGTTAAAGGCAATGTTTTAAAAATGTTGGTATAATTACACCTCTAAGTGTGTTTCTTTATCAACTAAAGGCCTGTTTTAGAGTCTCTATACTCCAGTTAATAATTAAGCGATTACTAAAATTTTTCAATAATCAATTAATCATGATCAATCCGATTAATTGATTCAGCCCAACACAGAACATAAAACCATTATTTAATGATCGGTTTGTAAGACTTTGATTTTTAAATCAAACTAGTTGTTTATTCTCCACGTATTCTCCTTTAAAATATTCTGTAATATGCTATGCTTATTTACAAAGTGCTTCTGAAATCTAAACGGACATGAAAGCACATCCGTAAGCAGACCTGATCTTTTTTATCAGATCAGAAGAAAAGTAAGCTTTCTTGGAAAAGGTTGCTTAATGAATAGTATTAGTTTTTACTACATGATAGGACCATGTTGATGAACACATGCTGCTGTTAACTATTTCAACATAGCACAAAGAAGTCTGAACGTCCTCAGTTGTTTGAATTCCCGCATGTAGCTTGCAAGCATCTTTAATTATCGATGAATTTTACCAAGTGAATGCACTTTGTTTTTTTGATTGCAGTCCTTTGATCTTTGTGGACAAGTATCTGCGATACGGAAGGCGTTGATGATGCTCTGCAGCTCCCAGGTCAGCTTCCGTTCACATGCATTTCATACATGAAGGAATATGATTGTGTTATCTTGTATTCAAAGTTGAGCTGATTGTTACTTTGATTCTCTGTTTTGGTCCCATTTAGAGTTACGGAGTGAGGGCCAGCAAACAGCTCTGCAGCGAGGCTGGTGATGTCTGCGCTATCTGCCAGGGGGATTTCAAAGATCCTATTGCTCTCATCTGTCAGGTAGGGAGGTACAGCTCTTTAATGAGTTATAGATGATTAGGGACTAGCATGAGTTAAAAGTTAGAGGTTTATCGCCCCCTATTGATTCAACCTCTCCACCTAGAGTTAAAGTAAATCTAAAAACATTCACAAAGCTTCATTGTTTTCTGCATTTTATGCAGACTCTTAGTTTTAAAACAATGTTTAGCTATTTTTTTTTAAATCTCAGAATTGAAGATGAGGTGTTGGTAGATGGAGCTGTAAAGGTCTTCCTCAGGCTCGTCTGGATTTTATTCGGGACATTTGTTTTTCTTCTCAGACTACTCCTAAATGATCCTTTGTCCTAGCAGTGAAATGTATGTCAGTATTATTTTTAAAGATATATTGTCTTAGTCACAGTTCCAAAGGCTTTTTACATCCTGCTGCTGTCTGGCAGACAGGTTCCCCGGTTTCTGATGCAGAAATATATCCCTACCATCACTACTGTATACAGCTAACATTCTTCTTAATATAATAAATGCTCAGATGCAGTAAGCATGAAAAAAAAAATCTTGCGATTTTATTTTATTTTGTCTTTTAATTATAGTCTCTGTCTTAAAAATGTTATTTTTCCTTTACTTGTTTGTTGCTTTTATTGCATCAACTGTGCAACTGGGCTAAGGTCTTCGTTATCACCCTTACCCTGAAATCCCACATACTCCGTCAGCGCTCCGCTGCGCTCCAGACCGCCTGCTCAAAGCAAAGCCTACAGCCGCCGCTGTGGTCCCGTCCGCTCCGCTCTGAGTCCCTTGGAGATCGTAGAGAGCATGCGCGAGATGAACCAGGGTTTCCGCGGATCATTAAAAATAATTACAATTCATTTTTTTTTAAATCAAGGCCTTAATTGGCACTAAAATTATTTAAATATGTTTATCGAAGTATTTATAATTCTTTAATAAAAATGCTTATAAAAACAATTTCGTCAGATATATCGCTATTAATTTCCGTGGAACTGATCATAAAGCCTTCTGTTCGGAAAGGAAGCTCGAGGCGGAGAAAAAGCTAGAGAATATATATATATATATATACGTGTGTGTGTGTGTTTACATACATACAAGAGTCATGGAACTGTGCTTACAGCTCCTTCATATTTCATGTACACTGATAACTTGTGTAAATGGTTCTTGTTGATGGCATTAAAATCATTTCTAATAGCATTAAAATAGCAATAAATTAGAGTCACTCATTCCTGTATGAACCCTGTGAGCGCTTAATTTAATGGCATATTAAAAAAAATCCCACCATCATCCAGCATATGTTCAGTTTCTGCCCAAATATATATATATATATATCTGTAGATTTTTGTAACGGGGATAAGGATAATTCAAAACTGCTTTTTTTTTTATGAACTTGTTCTCTGCTCCCAAACTCAGCATCTCTTTTCATTCCTGTAATAAGAAGTTTCTTTTGAATGGATTTGATTAAACTTTAAGTCCCTCGGTATAAAATAAATATTTTGATGGAGATGAGAAATCTGCTTCCTGGTTGGTGAATAACCAATAGTTTGGATCCAATCATTTAAATAAACGGTGTTAGTTTTTCTTTTTATATATATATATATATATATATATATATATATATATATATATATATAAGAATTGTGCTATAATTTCTAGTCGCCGATCTGTTGCTGCTATATTTTAATTTGACGAACCGGAATTTGTCGATGTTCTTCTTCCTGTTTGGTGTGATTGCAATTGCGGATCTTGACCTGGCCGGACCGGAGCGGAGCAAAAAATAGCTCGGCTCCGTAATTTTCGGTGACGGACGGAATAGACGTACGTGGACGGAGACGTGCGGAGGAGTAGTGGTGGATGTGGAACAGCATTGATTGATTTACAGGATCTCATTGATTTACATGAAAGACAAGAGCCCCGCTGATGTACGTCGTGCGGAGTGGAGCGGAGCGCTGACGGAGTATGTGGAATCTGGGGGTTAAAGAGAAAACACTATAAGGCAACCGGACCCATTATATTTCGGACAGGACGCTCACAAAAAGCTAAATCCAAAAATAAATTTATGACAGCTTGCCCCGATTCCTTTCTGTAGGTAATGCTGCAAAAACCTGTTTTGTTTTTGAAGTTGGCATTTTATTTTTAGGAGCAAATTATCAAAATACTTTTAAAATCAAAGACATCATTAAAATGTACATAACAGCAAAAGGGCTCCAGAGAATGGTGGTGACTGCATCTAGATTTTGGGGATGCTTCATAAAATAAGAAAACAGCCTGATGTAGATTGATTCCAATACAAAAAAAACGCTTGATAGGAAAAAAAAAGAAGTTCTTTATCACATAATTTTAAGATGCAATGTCTCTTGATAGAGTTATAGTGAGGCTTGTTGTGCTTTGTAATCCTCTACAGCATGTGTTCTGTGAGGAGTGCCTGTGTTTGTGGTTCGACCGCGAGAGAACGTGCCCTCTGTGTCGCTCCACTGTCGTCGAGGCCCTGCGATGCTGGAAGGACGGCACCACGTCCGCTCACTTCCAGATATACTGAGCTCTCTGACAAGATTCATAGGATGATAGGGATGGGAGTGCGCTTTAAAGGAAGTTACACCATGCCCCAGTGAACACTCATACAGAATGATAATTTTTGCAGTTTTCTAAACTAAATGATGGTACATGACAATATCCACACCGAGTCATGGCATCATGGTCAGCTGTTATTTTATTTTTTAGTATATTTTCTTTCTTTGCATAAGTAGGTATTGATTTATTGTAAGCATGACGGGGTAAAGAATTAACACGAATTTAAAATCTGTGTATATTCCCTGTGATATTTTATGTAAAGCTACTGTTCACCTTGCATGTGGTTTAAATGAGGCACCTCAGCATTATCTGCAGTGGAAAGCTACCCTCTTTGCAAAGTTTTAGGTCCATTTTATCACCCTAAATTAAAGAATTCAATTTTGCTTCAGTTTTAAACTGTAAGCAGTGTAGTTTGGTTTAATTTTTGTGATCCATGTTGCAATTAAAGACAACCTTAGGAAGAGCTTTCATTGTTTATTATCAGAACTGTTGAAGATTCATTAGAAATTTTTGACATAAAAAGATCCCAGTTGATACAAAACAAAACATTACATCAGAAAAAGAAAAGCTTATTCTTAGGAATCACAAACAGCATAAAAGCATTTTATGAACAGGTCCAGCATTTTTGTTTAAGGTAAAACGCTACATAACAGCCTCAACAATAAAACATACACAAATCTGTAAACAGGATCCAAACACTAAAAAAAACAAAAAACAAAACAAAAAAAAGACACCTATAAAAGGCCTCGTCCATTATTTACATGTGTACAAAGAGTTTAGCTTATCTAGAAAAGTACAGTGCATTTTTGGAGCTTTAGAACAGGTGTATTTCAGTGCATTTTTAAAGTTTTCCAGTAGTAATTACTGCCTGTATGTGTGAGGTCAAATCCGTTTTACTCAACTGTCCCTGATGCACTCGCATCATCGGAGAAGAAAACATTTAAAGGCGTACCATTAGTAAGCTTTTCCCTCCGCCGGTACCGGGGGAGGATTACATCACTGTTTTGTTTTGTAAATGGGATGACAGAATGGAGGAGAGAGAGAAGGGGGAGGGCAAGACAACTGCAGACTGCTCTGTTTCAAACTTCAAATCCATCCACAGCACAAGCTCAGTCAATTCAGTCAGCCTTCAACCCTGAAACATGACATCTTTCAGCCTTCATTCCTCTTCTGTCTTTGCACATCTCGGTTCTTCAGTGACAGCATCCTCTTGCATCCCTTTCTTTAAATGAAAATGATGTAAGCCCATTTGCTGTTCCGCATGTGTGATTTTTTTTTTAAAGGCACCAATCTAGAGTAAGAGAAATTTATTCACATAAAAAAATCAAATATTTTCATAGAATTAGACCCTACAGAGACAAACATGTCAGTGTGGTAAATATTATTAGACATTCAGCAGCTTTAAGTTGTTCCTCTTATTGTATAGAAATATTTAACTAAAACAAAAATTTAAAACAAATATATATTTGACTGATTTTAGCCATCAGATAGAATTCTGTTTAAATAAAATTGGGCTTTATTTTATTTATTTTTTCCTAAAGCTTGTACATTTTTTTCTTTGTTATAATTGCATTGTGAAATAAAATTCACAATTTATTGTCTAATTAACCGGTGTTCTTAAAGAAGAAAAAAAGTTAACATTTTATACATATAAACATTTCCTTAGTGTCAAAGCTAATTAAAATGTCGCTGTCTCACCTGTTGCGGAAGACGCAGCCCACGCGCCCTACAGGTGTCGCCTCGCGCTTATCAGCACAAGTAAGGTGACGTGCACCGCGAGGCACAGGAAGCCTTTGAAGTGGCCGCACCCGCTCACCGCCTTTCTTTCCCCGCAGCCGAGCTCTCCCACAGTCTCCCCGGCTGTCCAGCTCTTCTCCAGCTGATCTCCGATCCTCCGCAGCCGCGACGCGAGCAGCTGAGCTACGGAGCAAGCCAAGGAGCGTCGGCGCGGCGCGCTACAGCTGGAGTCTCCCGGCCGCAGCAGAGGCTGGTCTATCGGTAACCAGCACATGTCCGCTGACTGAGCAGCCGTGCTGTCCCTTTCCTCCTTAAATCTGGGGAAGGATATATGAACCCTCCTCTTGCTCCCTTATCAAACCTTAACCGTGTTTGCGCTCCCCAGACTCACCCCACCTCTAACTGCTATATTATTCATTACCACGTCACATGGTGTTTAGGGTTTACATCATCTTCTCTCCCAAATAAAAGATGCAGTGCCAAACACTCCAATCTCCAATGTTTGAAGTCTTTTGTTTAAGGAGACTGAACATTGTGTCCTATTAAGTGTTTAAAAAAATGCAGTTCACAATTTGAATAAATCTCCCACATAGATAACAAATGCTTCGTTATTAACATGTTTAACTACTAATTTTCAACTGCTAACTTAAGCAATAAAATAAGTATCATATAAAGGAGGAATTAAAAACAACTAGCGGAACCAATATAAAGCTGCTTTGTTCCTCTTCGGATTGTTTATTAAGAAGGGCGTGGTGGTTTCTGTCGGTCCCTCGGAGCTTCCTATAGTTTCGTGTTCTGTTTAGTTAAACTGCCATTATTTGAACTTTGAAGGATGACATGGCTACGAACGAGCTTGTTGCCTTTAGGGAAGGCTGGGAACAAGAACTAAAGGGCAGAAGAGAAGAGAATCGACTCGTTTGTTCGCCTTCCTCTTCCTCCAGGGATGATCCTGGTCGTTCAGGACTGAGAGACGGAAAACCTAGTTTAAAACTAGAGGATCCAGGCTGCAGCGAGAAGGAGGGAATAATCTGTGGTCGAACCGCTTCTGCGGAGGTAGAAGATCAGCCTCAGTATGTCTCCATTGCTCACAGCCTGTTGGATGGGAGGACCAGTCCCCTGCTGGACAGGATCGAGAAGGAGAGAACGAGTAGAAAAAGGCTGTATCATAACATGAGCAACATGTGCACTTCATCCCTGCAGAGGCAGCCTCAGAAGAAGGTGAAGAAAGAAGAGGAGCTTGTGGATCAACTCATTCAGGATCTGGTATGATGGCTGGGAGGATGTTGTTCAAACAGGGTCATGCAAACGTAGTTGACCTTTACAGTTACAGTTATCTTCAGTTTTTGATGTCTTTCAGAAAATTATTGCTTAAATAATGGAACAGAATTGTTGCACAAGTGAATAAATAAATAAATCAGTTCAACATCATGATTTGATTCATCAAAGTAAATGAGCTGTCTGGCCTGAAGTACATAAACAATGGTACAAAAATAGTAATGGTGCCATCAAGTATTATTTTAAACCGGCCCTTCTTTCATCAATATGACTTGTTAATTCAGTCGTATTGTAACATTTGTTAACTTGAAAATAATATTGGCTCTCTAAATTCTTAACTTTGTTTATATTTTTGCTGTATAATCTAATTATGGAATAATACAACAATAATAACCTCCCATGTGGTTATTATTGTTCCATGTTTTCTTTAGAAAGTCTCTTTCTCTGGTTTGCTGTGATCCAAAAGACAGATGATTTTTTTTCTCATCTATTCTCAATTTTTTTTAAGATTGGTTCATCCTGTGTTACTTTTTGACAACTTGTACTTTTTGACTTAGGGTTGTCAAAAGTATCGAAATTCAAAAAAGTATCGATACTGAAAAGTTGTATCCGGATACAATGCTCGTTTTTAAAAGTATCGATACAGTGCCACCACCAGTGGCACCTAAGCAGTCATTCATCTAGAGTGCAGAATAGAGGACAATGCACATTCAGAACACTGTGTGATTGAATAATTCTGTGCACTTTTCAGTTTCAGACTTTTTTTGTGTAAGAACTGCAGCTGCTGAGAATTATTTTTGTTTCTTAACCGGTTTGGCTAGTGTCATTGTTATGTGTGCAAAGCATAGCCAAGGAAGGAACACTTAATTTTAATTTTATAAGTTTTTTATCAAGCTTGCTTATTATAGTGCACAGCGTACAACCTTTCATGTATTTTATTTATTAATGAAAATATTTCTGTAGAATTTTGGATTCTTTGTTTTTATCCTTGTGGTATCGAAAATGGTATCGAGTATCGAATATTTTCCTTAGTATCGGTATCGAGTTGAAAAGTTTAGTATCGTGACAACCCTATTTTGACTAGCCTGATTCATGTTCCCATTCAGGTTATTCTACAGATCAGATTATTATCAAGCCTGGATCGAACCATAGCTAGTGAAAAATTAACCCCGTAACGTGGTTAATATTAGTTAATTTCTTATTAATTAGGCCGGATTGGTTTAAAAATTATATGAAAACATTTTGTATTTACCCTGATCTGTTTGTTTCATATAAAGTTTGTTAAATTTTTTAATAACAAAGTGCGTTAAAAAAATAAGCTAAAGCAAGCGTGCTTAAAAAAAGCAGAATGAATCTAAGAGTGCCGTGATACTTTTCACAGCAAAGTAGTCAGTGTATCCAATGTGTTGTACTGCAATTCTCCTTCTTTGCAGAACGAAGTCAACAACATTCCTTTCTTTGACGTTGAGTTACCCTACGAATTGGCCTTGAAGATATTCCAGTATCTCAACTGTGCAGAACTCGGCCGCTGTGCTCAGGTGAGCTGCAAAAAAAATCCCAAAAAGAAAACAAATGCATGCATAGGGATGGGTTGTTTATGATATGTAATTGGAAAAAACGGACACAAAAACGTGAGGCAGAAAGCCCCTTCCCACAAAATGAATTGGCTGTCCTAAGATTGCTTTCATACAGCTTACAATTCTTGTGAAAAAAAAGGTCAGTAATGCTGTCAAATCACCATTTATGTGTTTTTTTTATATTTACATTTATACATATTTGATACCTAGCCAAACTACAGGTATCAAGGCATATTACTAGATGTAATTGTTTACCACGTAGACCCCCTAGGATTTCTGAGTGAAACTTAGTTTTGGAAATTTCTTTTTGGCTTATTTAAAAAGAAAATCTTTAATTCCTTTAATTTTCATTAGTTTTTTAACTGGGTTTGTTGTTTTCTATCATTCTAATTCCAAAGCTTACTTAGTTTTATTTTTTTATACAGGTTTTAGTACTAGTTTTAGTTTTTTTACTCATTTTTTTTTATGCAGGTATCGAAAAGGTCAGAATGTTATGCAATTATATCTATATTAAGTAAAGACACAAGATTCCACTTTCAAAAGGTGGTTTAGTTACGAGAAACACTTTTTTATTCAGTTTGCAAAGCTTTTAAATTGATCAATAAACACCATAACAAAGGAGAGTATTATTTGTATCCGTTTTAGTTTTTTTTTTACTCACAGTGCAGTTACAGTTCCATTTCCTATTATTTAAAGTTCTCATGTATTTCAGTTGACAAGAGTGTTTTCTGAATTTTTTCATTAGTTTTAATAATTTATTATAACCCTGCTGCTTTCTCAGCAGCAGAACTACTCAGGCTAAGGTGAGATTTCGGTTCTGTGCTTCTCTGAAAACCTGAGATCTGTAGAAACTAATCTGACTGATGAACTGGAAAAAAACTGTTTATTTTATCCTCTACTTCAGACTATCATTTGATCTGATATGAAAAGCTTTGCATGCCCTAAAGGTTTTGGCTTCAGACCTTTCACACTTCTCCATAATGCGGCTCTTGCGGTTTAAAGTCTTTTGACTGATCAGGTTTTTTTGGCTGCATTGCTTGTTAAGTCACATGCTGCTCCCACCGGTTGCTGCACACTACAAGTCAGCTGGCTGAAAGAAGACTATTTTCCTTTCATCTGTCACACTTTGATAGAATTTTCACTTTAGACTTCTAACCACCCCCTGTCTGCTTTTGAACTTTTAAACCTCCTCCTTCAGAATGACACTTTCAGACTCGCCTGTCTCTCATGTATATCATTCAGTTTTTGGAGGGTTAAAATTGTATTAATTAAAACGGATGATCAAACATAATTTTAAGAGAATTATAAATGTCAACTCTATGAGTAAAATCCAAGAATAACTTTAGCTTTATTGTTTCTTTGTGTAGCACCGTAGTTTGGCCACTTTAATTACAGTTACCGTCTTTATTCTCTATTGCTTTGGGCAGCTCATGACTTTATTTGGGGCATGATAGTAAATTACATTTTGAGTGGCAGATCCACAGCACTTGTGGTGAAGAGAGCCCGTTTGGCAGGCGGCCGGGCTCGTTAAGCAGAAATGAGTGATGCAAGCTCCTAATGTATGCTGACTCAAACCACTGTCACGTTGTCCAATCTCCTCCCAGGTGAGCAGGGCATGGAGAGTCCTCGCAGAGGATGGCGTTCTATGGTTCAGGTTGTGCCAGAGGGAGGGTTACCACCAGGATGCCAGCGTCTCCAACTCCCCCTGTTGGAAGAGCACTCTGCGAGACTGCAGGAGCGCGGCCAGGAGTGTCCGCTCCAACTGGAAGGTGGGGGTTTGGCTGCTCTACTTCACTGAAACAGGAACCTTTTTTAAATCAAATTACTAAAACTGAGAGGTGAGAATAGCATATAGTCGACTGATCTAAATTAGACGATATATTAGTACGTGATTAACGGCAGATCCTGATGTCTGCAGTGTTTGCCCGCTAATTTTTAAAATAAATTTCATTACTAATAACCATTAGATCACTGATACTGTCCTACGATTTATCCGCTGATGAGAAAACAATCATAATGTTCAGTGTCTTGAAACTCCATCAAATTCTCTGACATTACAGCTTCTATGATTTATTAGTGTTTTATGAAGAAGTCAACACGAGTTTGTGCATGTCTGTGTAATGAAAGTGATATGATTAATGATTGTTTTTTTTTATAATGTACATATAGGATATCCCTGGTTGTATTGTGTCCCCTTTTTGTCAGCTTTAAGTTTATCTCGCTATACAGGTGCTGGTCATAAAATTAGAATATCATGAAAAAGTAGATTGATTTCAGTAATTCCATTTAAAAAGTGAAACTTGTATATTATATTCATACATTACATACAAACTCATATATTTCAGATGTTTATTTTGTTTAATTTTGATGATTACAAATGACAACAAATGAAAATCTCAAATTCATCATATCAGAAAATTAGAATATTGTGAAAAGGTTCAAAATTGATGGCCCCTGGTGCCACACTCTAATCAGCTAATTAACTCAAACCACCTGCAAAAGCCTTTAAATGGTCTTTCAGTCTAGTTCTATAGGCTACACAATCATGGGGAAGACTGCTGACTTGACAGTTGTCCAAAAGACGACCATCGACACCTTGCACAAGGAGGGCAAGACACAAAAGGTCATCGCTAAAGAGGCTGGCTGTTCACAGAGCTCAGTGTCCAAGCACATTAATAGAGAGGCGAAGGGAAGGAAAAGATGTGGTCGAAAAAAGTGTACAAGCAAGAGAGATAACCGCACCCTGGAGAGGATTGTGAAACAAAACCCATTCAAAAATGTGGGGGAGATTCACAAAGAGTGGACTGCAGCTGGAGTGAGTGCTTCAAGAACCACCACACACAGACGTATGAAAGACATGGGTTTCTGCTGTCGCATTCCTTGTGTCAAGCCACTCTTGAACCACAGACAGCGTCAGAAGCGTCTTGCCTGGGCTAAAGAGAAACAGGACTGGACTGCTGGTGAGTGGTCCAAAGTCATGTTCTCTGATGAAAGTAAATTTTGCATTTCCTTTGGAAATCAAGGTCCCAGAGTCTGGAGGAAAAGAAGAGAGGCACTTCATCCACGTTGCTTGAAGTCCAGTGTAAAGTTTCCACAGTCAGTGATGGTTTGGGGTGCCATGTCATCTGCTGGTGTTGGTCCATTGTGTTTTCTGAGGTCCAGGGTCAACGCAGCCACATACCAGGAAGTTTTAGAGCACTTCATGCTTCCTGCAGCTGACCAACTTTTTGGAGATGCAGATTTCATTTTCCAACAGGACTTGGCACCTGCACACAGTGCCAAAGCTACCAGTACCTGGTTGAAGGACCATGGTATCCCTGTTCTTAATTGGCCAGCAAACTCTCCTGACCTTAACCCCATAGAAAATCTATGGGGTATTGTGAAGAAGAAGATGCAATACACCAGACCCAACAATTCAGAAGAGCTAAAAGCCACTATTAGAGCAACCTGGGCTATCATAACACCTGAGCAGTGCCACAGACTGATCGACTCCATGCCACGCCGCATTGCTGCAGTAATACAGGCCAAAGGAGGCCCAACTAAATACTGAGTGCTGTACATGCTCATACTTTTCATGTTCATACTTTTCAGTTGGCCAACATTTCTATAAATCCTTTGTTTTTATTGGTCTTCAGTAATATTCTAATTTTCTGATATGATGAATTTGAGATTTTCATTTGTTGTCATTTGTAATCATCAAAATTAAACAAAATAAACATCTGAAATATATGAGTTTGTATGTAATGTATGAATATAATATACAAGTTTCACTTTTTAAATGGAATTACTGAAATCAATCTACTTTTTCATGATATTCTAATTTTATGACCAGCACCTGTAGATGCTTTTATTTTAATAAATTACATATTCTGTCCTTAAAACAAAACGGGAGGAAAATTCACCCAATTATTTCCAACTTTGCAGATAGTAAAGAACATTGAATAAAGCTTTTCCTTTCAAACTAAAAATTTTGCTCTACAAACAGGAAAACCTTAGAAGATTAGCTTACCTGTGGATCACTCAGCTAATATTTTGTTTTGTATCCACTGTTTCTGAGAACTTGCTTTTGCACGGAGTTGACCAAGGAGAATCGGGCTGGCCATCCTATAGTACCGTAGTAATCTTGTTGGTCTCTCGTACACAAAAACATACAATCATATAAATAGTTAAAACTTTTGAAGTTCATATAATAAAAATTCTCTGTTCCCTTAGTGTGACGGATTTCTTATATATGAATCCAACTTCGTCACATGCCTTGTCTGAAAATCTGCAAGGCAAATGTGGAAAAAAAGCCTGTTTTCTTAATATAATGTTTTGGCTTATTTGTTTCCTTAATTAATTAATAATGTTTGATATATTCTTAAGTATTTATTGATTTATACAGACAAACTGTCCAGCACCTAAACTTTAGAAGAATCATTCAGCTTCATCAACTCTGTGGGATTTTTTAAGAGTTATATTTATTTATTTTTTGGAAAATCAATGTGTTCTTTGATAAGTTTGAAGGCCCAGGATTTTCTTTTCTTTTCTTTTTTTTGGATAACAGTTGGAATTTATGGTAAACTTTTGCTGACAGCTTAGTCTCTTGTATGCAGTGTTCACAACTAACAGCAAACATTTTTCATCCTGAACCCAAATGTTGACTGGTTCTTTGCTATTTTGACGATCCTTTTATCAATTTAAATGCATCTTTTTTCACCTCTCAAACTCTTGGTTGCATTTGTATTATCCATTTTTGCATTTTTTCATATTTCCAACTATTCAGTGAGTTTTTAATCACATTAATTCACACGACTCATGGGAAGGATTAATTTTACTCAGATTTTTAGACAGCATGTAGACAACTGTTTGTGTCCATCCATCAATAAATACCAGATGTTTGGCAACTGCTTGTTCATCAATAATGGCAAGGAGCTACCCGGCTGATTGAGGAAAGACATTTAAATGTCTCAATCTCTAGACATTATATGATCTAAGCACCTTTTCAGGCTGTGCTAATCATTTTAATCCTTAACAACATGGTGTGTGGTGGAAAGTTAAGTTGCACACATCTTAGCTGTGGAGCACAGTGGTGGCAGCATTGTTCTGGGTTGTTGGTCAGAGCAAAATGGAGAGAAATAGAAGAAACAACAGCTGGTTAGTGGATTAATGAGATTTTTCTGTTAAAGGTCGTTACAAAATGCCAGGGAACTGATTATCAGCTGTTTGAGTTTGGTTCTTTTCATCATCTAATTGTAGACCGATGACGTCTAGTGGGCCACCATATGACTGCTAAGAGATCTCTAAGCAACATGAGCCCTAATCTAAATCAAAATAAGGGTCTTCAATAAGTATTGAAAGATAGATGTTTTTTAATTAAATCCAGCTATGCTAGATCCAATTTGTAAAGAAGAATGGCATGCAAGGAAGAGACAAGATATCATCCGATTCGCACCTCATTCTTTTAGATTTTTGTAGGAATGTTCCTTCACCTTCAGAATTTTGAACTACCAGTTGATTTATTACATAGAAATAAATATATTAAGGTTTGAGTTTGCTATGCAAAAAAAAAAGTCTAATCCATACTTTTTGTAATTAGCCCTATAATTGTTATTGTTTAAAGTTTTAAGCCCAACATCTCTGCCTGTTTAGAACCGAGTGGGGTCCGTCAGCCAGCTGCAGTTCGAGTTGGGCAAGATTCTGTGTAGCGTCAGCTCCTGTGACAGCTTTGTTTTGGCTGGGTGAGTTTCAAGGACGAGCGGATCTACGTCTGATATCCTCTTTGTTTAAACACAGCTCGATTGTTCTTGCTTCATCTGCATTGATTTTTCTGTCATGTTAAATTAAACTTGTTCATAGATTTTTGTGATTTAATACATGATGAGTAAATTAATGTAGAAAATGCTATAAATCCCTGTCTAAACCAATGCCAAAATGTTGCAATGTAAAGTAAATCAGGGGATGAGGTTAATGTTTCCTTTGCCAACTGAAGCCATTGTGTTCATCAGGCAACTAGATGCCAGTGAGGACACAGCTACCTACATAACATCTTTTTTTATAAAGTTTGGTTTCTTAATTTATTGTTGGTTTAACACTTTTATTAGCTGGGTTATTATTAGGGATGCACCGATCCAATATTTTTATCAGTATCGGTCCAGATATAAAGAAAGAAAATTGATCGGTATCGGTGACAATTGACTCGATATAGGGGCCGATCTATTGCTATGCTCTGCCATCATGCGGCAGCGCAACAACACAACACGGCCATACTGTTTATGATGGAGCGAGCAAAAGGATTTATATGTGGGAGAAATGTTCCAAGGGGCGGTGTTAAATCTTCAAACTATAACACCACCAACTTAATGAAACACCTCTATAAGTTTCATAAAAAGGGACATGCTGAGATTATTGGACTCGGCAAACAAAAAGGAAGCAGCGGGAAGCAAAGGAAAGAAGCGACATTTTTCCATGTAACAGTATACAGGCCAAAAAAATCACAGAGATGATACTTGATAATGACAATGACACTTTTTTTTTTTTTTTTTTTTTTTTTTACATGTTGACCAAGTCAGATATAAATAAATCAGTCATATTTATATTCGGGTTGTTTCCTATTTTTTTATTTTTTATTTTTTTAAGAAAAGGGAAATAAAATCATATGCACAGAAGAATGATCCCAGGTTTTTTTTTTTTTTTTACACAATAAATCCATTTTTAGGCGTGAGCGTTCTTATGCCGAGGCCCACTGGGGGTTCAAGAAGACAGAAATAGCCATAAAAAATGAACATATAAACTCTGATCTATAAATGCTTTCTATGTTAGAAAAGGTACCAATAAACTAGCTCCACAAGTGGCTCTGTCTGGAAAAGAAAGAGTGGAGCAGATAAGCTCTGAGACAGTTTCCATGTCAAAGGGATGAAAGAGAGCACATGCAGTTGGCCTAGGTTAAAGGGAAGTCCGTAAATCTGTCTGGGAGAGAAACGGGACTAGATCCTAAAAAATTCCGAACTCTGTCATCTATAACGAAAGATGTTGATGGCAGCAGTCCAGCTATTTCTGTCCAAGATGGTGTTTCAGCCAAACAGGAAAAGACCAGATGAGGCTACTATGATGAGAAAAGGTAGAGAGAGCATAAAGTTAGGGTCTGATCTAACAAACATTGCAGAATGTTATATATGATGAATTGTGGTCCTTTGTCTTCCAGCAACCTAAGGCTATAGCAGCATAACTATAGAGGTAGCTCAGGACAACCTGAGTCACTCTAACTATAAGGTTTATTAAAAATGAAAGTTATAGGTCTAGCCTTAAAAGTAGACAGGGTGTAGTTATCTTAAAACTTTGTATTTATACTACCCCTTACAACCATGCTGTAAATGAAGGTAGCAACCTGAGAAAAACTTAACTCTCCAGTTGTATCCATTAACAAGCACTAAGGATGACTTATAAAGATGCAATTTGTACCTTAAGACCAGAATATCAACCTTTCCGGAAGAATTCAGTTTAATAGCTGAACTGAATATAGAGCATTAAACTGCAGTCTAATTGTCTATATCTTCAGAACGGGGTCCAAGGGGGGAGATAGTGGGGAACCAGAAGCAGGGTTGCAGGCACTCAAGGCTCATCAATGCACTGAGGGAGTGAAGGGCTGGCCTGTGTGGGCTACTAGAACAGATAAGGTTTATGATAAAACGCTGTCGGAAAACACTTTGGATCCCAGTTTATTTTGCTTACGCTTAATCAGAGTGGCCATGCTGACCTTTGTCCGCTGCTGGAAGCAATGACAGTGGGCACAGAAGCATTACACCTGGACCACCTGGAGCAATGGAAGAATATGGCCCAGTGTTATGAAACATGTTTCATACAGATATATGCATCAGTTTTAATGACTTCAGTCACACCTTACAGCCCTATGTCTGACATCTGATGTCCTTTATCGGAACAAATGGCAACATTTTTCCTTAATAGAGTAAGTTGTTCGTTTTTAGTTACTACACCACAAGTGCACATAGTCACATCACTGCTTATTCAATAAAGTTCCCTCTAAATAACAGTAACAACTGTATTTATTGAGGAAGGAGGACATAAATTGCTGCTTAATCAGCTAAACCTGCCCTGAACTAGCTGGAATGAGGCAGTGATAAATTGTGAGGGACCTTAGGGGCCCAATAAAGGGCCCTTTAGGAGATCTGAAGCGTCTCATGGGACAAACTCTACTAGATTCCCATTAGTCCTGCTGGATCCCTTCATAGATGGTGGCCTGTTTGTATGGTTTAAAATTATACACGGAGCGCACAGTATCTAAACACTGAGGACATTCATTAAGTTGCCTGATGTGATGTGAACATGCTGTTAAATTTATGCATACACTGCTATAATATTAATGATGTCAATACTTTCCTCATAATCCTTTAACTGAAACTATTTTAATTTGTTTAGAAAAGAATCAATGGCAATTAAGAGCAGTGGAAATCAATTTGATTGGTTACAGAAAACCTTTTATTAAAGGACTTTAATAACAAAAAAGGAAAAAAAAAGCAGCTGCAGGATCATCAGCCATTAATTTTTTCACAGCGACAGAACCGATCTGCTGAAGTCTGCACAAAGTCTGAGATGAACTTCTTCCCACATAAGTTTGTTGGGAGAGATCCAACATCCTCGTCATGCTTGCATTTTGATGATGCACCAATTAAGGAAAAAGTGTGCACTTCTAATCTTGCCAAACCCTGCAAATCCACACAAACACACACACACACACCCACACACTAACATATTCACTCTGTATCAAACTGGCTGTTACTGTTACTGTTAGACACATTGCAGCTCCAAGGGGCTTAGGCATGATTGTATCTGTGAAGATGGCAGCAGGAGAGGAGATAGAGGAGGTGGTATGTGGGGGTCAGAGGTCAGGGCTGCTCTCTACAGGAGACAATTGTTCCTCATACAGAAAGCAAAGCTGATTTTCCCCCCTCTTCTTTAAGGCCATCAACGAATTGCTCCTCACAATGAACTCCTTTAAGCGCTGAAAGGAACTTTGGGGTTTTTATTTAGCTGAATGTTAGCGTCATATCACTACTCTAATTTTCAACACCACATGTAAGAAATGCGTTAATATCTAGTAACCCTGCCGTGTTTATATTAAAGGTACACATCTGGTGATGTGAGGCTTTGGGACACACTGCACTGGGACTCAACATCATCCTACCTCAAGTCCAACAGTCTGTCGGCGAACACACACCGTAGACCGCACGTCAGCCATGTTCAGATCAACAGCGCAGTGGCTGCTGCTTCATATGAGGATGGTGAGTGGGGATTTGTTTAAAGGTGCACTAAATGTTTGGTTTGAACATTGAAATTAGAATCCTGACATACAGCGCCCCCCTGTGAAGGCGTTCAAACATCCTGAAATTAAATTCATCTTTACTTGGGTGAATTGGTTCATCCAAGTCACAATAAAATTAAAATTAAAGCAAAAAACACCTTTAATAAAAGGCAAATATTTTTTTAACCCTGCTTTAATTTTTTTGCACGCTCTCCTAATGAAGCTTCTGTAAAATAACAGACATTGATTTTAGTAATCATAAAGAAAAACTAGAATACTAAAGAGGCACTGATGTATGAAACTTTTATTTATTTTTTTCAAATGTGACACAGCTAAACCATACAGCTAATAAAACATGTTAAACAGTGAATCACTGACATCCAGCCCTGAAATGAAATTCTTAGCTTATAGTGGCTTATAGTATAAGTTTATCGCTATAAAGACCACCAGCACTTTATAAGACATTTTAAAACAAACAGGTGGTTATATATATCAGAGACCGACTAATGTTAGAAATTACACAGTGATTAAAAACTGCAACACATGCCACAATTTGAAAAACACATTTATCTAAAAATCAAAAAATATTAACAATGTTTAGCAAAGGGATGGAGCTGCAATGCATGCATCAAGGCATGGCTACTCAATGCACTAATAAATCAGAGAAGACATCCATGTATCGCACATCTGGTAAACACTAAAACTGGCTGAAATTATCAGCCAGATGACATATTGCTTTGTCTCTAATATTTAGGATATTGGTTCTGCACATCATCTATCCATCTGAAAACCTGCTAAGCAAAGCTGTTCAGTATCTGGACATCAGAGCACTTTTTTTTTCAGCATTTGTTTCTGGTGTAGGTTGTGTAGACCTGTGGAGCACAGAAACAGGCGGAGAGCCCATCCACCACTACCAGATTGCAGGGAGGATTCAGGCTCTGGGTCTGAGCCCAGACAGTCCCGTCCTGGTTTCAGCCACAGGATCAAATGTTCGGTTGGACAGCGCCAACGACTGTGGATACTGGAGGACTGTCTGTGAGACTCGGCTACCCAAAACAGTAAGTAGGACACTTTGTTTTCATTTGCACCCTTAGCTTTTTGCTAATGGGAATATTAGGATATATACCTATGAGGGAGTCACACAGATACTTTATTTTTTTTGGACAGGTAGACAGCCTGACTCTGGTACCCAATCGGGTAGATCAGTCCCCGATGGTGGTTTTAGCAGCTGGAGAAGACGTCTACTTGTTGAATCCTCAGGAGGAGGAGCCAAGGACTCTGCACTCTGTTTATGGTCATCCTGTAACCTGTTTGGATGCATCTGATACCCTCGCTGCTTTTGGGGTGAAGCGCACAGGCTGGGCAATGCATGATGGAGGCAATAAGGTGAGTTCAGCTGATTAAGGGCTTATCTAATAGGAATACAACTAATTTGTAGAAGATATTATGATTTACATTTAACAAAACAAATTTTATAGTGAAAGAAAAGTTACATTTCTGTTAGTTCATCAATTATAAATGGGATGCTGTTATATAAACACTATTAATTTATGTCAATTTTGGGGGGGTTACCATTCAATAGAGGCATGTGAAACACATTAACTCTGGCTATCACACTTTTTTATTTTTATTTTAATGAAAATAAAGATGAGTCACATATAAAGTCTTAACAGGTTTAATCATGTCACACATTGAGTGTATGCTGTGACATCGTCATCCTCACACTCAGGTTGAATTTATAAAATGATTCAATTCAATGGAATTAGGAAGCAAACATGTACACCCACTAGTGCAAGAAAGGGTTACATGATTAGATACAAGATTTAAGTAAAAGACAAAAATAACGAACATACAGCTGTAAAATAACGGTGTACCCTGTCAGCGTACCCTGAGCTGAACTGTTCAATCTGGAATCAAAACTGTGGCTTTTAGAATAAAATAGCTATTTTTCCTCTGTTGCATCTATGTGTATGAATGTGGCAGCAATAGTTACTTTGGGCATAAGCCCCCAACAGCCTGATGAAACAAAGCGTACGATGGATACAGGTGCTGGTCATAAAATTAGAATATCATGAAAAAGTAGATTGATTTCAGTAATTCCATTTAAAAAGTGAAACTTGTATATTATATTCATACATTACATACAAACTCATATATTTCAGATGTTTATTTTGTTTAATTTTGATGATTACAAATGACAACAAATGAAAATCTCAAATTCATCATATCAGAAAATTAGAATATTACTGAAGACCAATAAAAACAAAGGATTTATAGAAATGTTGGCCAACTGAAAAGTATGAACATGAAAAGTATGAGCATGTACAGCACTCAGTATTTAGTTGGGCCTCCTTTGGCCTGTATTACTGCAGCAATGCGGCGTGGCATGGAGTCGATCAGTCTGTGGCACTGCTCAGGTGTTATGATAGCCCAGGTTGCTCTAATAGTGGCTTTTAGCTCTTCTGAATTGTTGGGTCTGGTGTATTGCATCTTCTTCTTCACAATACCCCATAGATTTTCTATGGGGTTAAGGTCAGGAGAGTTTGCTGGCCAATTAAGAACAGGGATACCATGGTCCTTCAACCAGGTACTGGTAGCTTTGGCACTGTGTGCAGGTGCCAAGTCCTGTTGGAAAATGAAATCTGCATCTCCAAAAAGTTGGTCAGCTGCAGGAAGCATGAAGCGCTCTAAAACTTCCTGGTATGTGGCTGCGTTGACCCTGGACCTCAGAAAACACAATGGACCAACACCAGCAGATGACATGGCACCCCAAACCATCACTGACTGTGGAAACTTTACACTGGACTTCAAGCAACGTGGATGAAGTGCCTCTCTTCTTTTCCTCCAGACTCTGGGACCTTGATTTCCAAAGGAAATGCAAAATTTACTTTCATCAGAGAACATGACTTTGGACCACTCACCAGCAGTCCAGTCCTGTTTCTCTTTAGCCCAGGCAAGACGCTTCTGACGCTGTCTGTGGTTCAAGAGTGGCTTGACACAAGGAATGCGACAGCAGAAACCCATGTCTTTCATACGTCTGTGTGTGGTGGTTCTTGAAGCACTCACTCCAGCTGCAGTCCACTCTTTGTGAATCTCCCCCACATTTTTGAATGGGTTTTGTTTCACAATCCTCTCCAGGGTGCGGTTATCTCTCTTGCTTGTACACTTTTTTCGACCACATCTTTTCCTTCCCTTCGCCTCTCTATTAATGTGCTTGGACACTGAGCTCTGTGAACAGCCAGCCTCTTTAGCGATGACCTTTTGTGTCTTGCCCTCCTTGTGCAAGGTGTCGATGGTCGTCTTTTGGACAACTGTCAAGTCAGCAGTCTTCCCCATGATTGTGTAGCCTATAGAACTAGACTGAAAGACCATTTAAAGGCTTTTGCAGGTGGTTTGAGTTAATTAGCTGATTAGAGTGTGGCACCAGGGGCCATCAATTTTGAACCTTTTCACAATATTCTAATTTTCTGATATGATGAATTTGAGATTTTCATTTGTCGTCATTTGTAATCATCAAAATTAAACAAAATAAACATCTGAAATATATGAGTTTGTATGTAATGTATGAATATAATATACAAGTTTCACTTTTTAAATGGAATTACTGAAATCAATCTACTTTTTCATGATATTCTAATTTTATGACCAGCACCTGTATATTCTTACAGGACTCTGAGCAACTCTGACCTCAGTGTGATGCACCGGCTCGTTGGAAGGTGTGCATGATGGAATCTAGGACACTTTCTAAATTTCCTTACCAGTCATGTTGTGTTATTTATCTCCTCCGATATGCAGACTGAGGAACCTGGTGGTGCTTAGTCTCCCCAGCAACACATTCAGGTGTTAAAGGAGTGTGGGAGGTATTTGTGAGTTATAGGTCTCCCAAAGCTAGCTATTTTACTTAAGCTCCCATGGATACTTGGTAGAATTCATGGTATCTATGATGCATGTTCCTCTTCAGAAAAGCCTTCCAACATCATGACATTTCAACTCTGTGCTTCATAGGGTTTCTTGTAATGCTGTATTAGATTTATACTAAACATGGTGTCTGCTCCACCGGCCCAAAAAACCCAAAAATTTGTGAGGTTTTAATAGTTTTCTTAGGAAGCAAAAGTCTCCTCCTTTTGTATCTTGCAATAAACATATATTTTTGCCTCATTGTTTGTATTGCATCTTCCAACCAGATCCTATTAGCCACTGAGAGTCGGGTCGGGTCCTCGTTTGTTGCCCTATTTGTGTTGGCTTGATAGTTTATCGTTAAAGATGCACTGACTTCCAGAATGCTCATTTTTTTGTTTATTAGCACCAGCACAAGTTAAGACAGCACCACAGGGATGAAAATCGCAAATGACGTGAGATCAGTTGATTAACATGTACAGGTGCTGGTCATAAAATTAGAATATCATGAAAAAGTAGATTGATTTCAGTAATTCCATTTAAAAAGTGAAACTTGTATATTATATTCATACATTACATACAAACTCATATATTTCAGATGTTTATTTTGTTTAATTTTGATGATTACAAATGACAACAAATGAAAATCTCAAATTCATCATATCAGAAAATTTGAATATTACTGAAGACCAATAAAAACAAAGGATTTATAGAAATGTTGGCCAACTGAAAAGTATGAACATGAAAAGTATGAGCATGTACAGCACTCAGTATTTAGTTGGGCCTCCTTTGGCCTGTATTACTGCAGCAATGCGGCGTGGCATGGAGTCGATCAGTCTGTGGCACTGCTCAGGTGTTATGATAGCCCAGGTTGCTCTAATAGTGGCTTTTAGCTCTTCTGAATTGTTGGTTCTGGTGTATTGCATCTTCTTCTTCACAATACCCCATAGATTTTCTATGGGGTTAAGGTCAGGAGAGTTTGCTGGCCAATTAAGAACAGGGATACCATGGTCCTTTAACCAGGTACTGGTAGCTTTGGCACTGTGTGCAGGTGCCAAGTCCTGTTGGAAAATGAAATCTGCATCTCCAAAAAGTTGGTCAGCTGCAGGAAGCATGAAGTGCTCTAAAACTTCCTGGTATGTGGCTGCGTTGACCCTGGACCTCAGAAAACACAATGGACCAACACCAGCAGATGACATGGCACCCCAAACCATCACTGACTGTGGAAACTTTACACTGGACTTCAAGCAACGTGGATGAAGTGCCTCTCTTCTTTTCCTCCAGACTCTGGGACCTTGATTTCCAAAGGAAATGCAAAATTTACTTTCATCAGAGAACATGACTTTGGATCACTCACCAGCAGTCCAGTCCTGTTTCTCTTTAGCCCAGGCAAGATGCTTCTGACGCTGTCTGTGGTTCAAGAGTGGCTTGACACAAGGAATGCGACAGCAGAAACCCATGTCTTTCATACGTCTGTGTGTGGTGGTTCTTGAAGCACTCACTCCAGCTGCAGTCCACTCTTTGTGAATCTCCCCCACATTTTTGAATGGGTTTTGTTTCACAATCCTCTCCAGGGTGCGGTTATCTCTCTTGCTTGTACACTTTTTTCGACCACATCTTTTCCTTCCCTTCGCCTCTCTATTAATGTGCTTGGACACTGAGCTCTGTGAACAGCCAGCCTCTTTAGCGATGACCTTTTGTGTCTTGCCCTCCTTGTGCAAGGTGTCGATGGTCGTCTTTTGGACAACTGTCAAGTCAGCAGTCTTCCCCATGATTGTGTAGCCTATAGAACTAGACTGAAAGACCATTTAAAGGCTTTTGCAGGTGGTTTGAGTTAATTAGCTGATTAGAGTGTGGCACCAGTGGCCATCAATTTTGAACCTTTTCACAATATTCTAATTTTCTGATATGATGAATTTGAGATTTTCATTTGTTGTCATTTGTAATCATCAAAATTAAACAAAATAAACATCTGAAATATATGAGTTTGTATGTAATGTATGAATATAATATACAAGTTTCACTTTTTAAATGGAATTACTGAAATCAATCTACTTTTTCATGATATTCTAATTTTATGACCAGCAAATGAATATTGAAAAACAAAGTGAAACAAAACGTAGTGAACTGAAGGGGTCAAACAAAATCACGGCAGCCCCACCCTGACTCTCATAGTGAGACAGGTGTGCATGCACCTCTACAGTTACTGCTGTGGTGCACACACACACCTCCATTTGAGTTTTCACCTCAACACACATTCAAAACCAGGATCACCATGCACCACATTTCCATTTATGTCTCCTGCAGTTTGAATTATACACGCATCCACTTAAATATCAACAGCAGAGAGATGTTGCTTATTAAAACTGGTCTATGTAAAAGACCAGCAAGCTGGTCAGATCTTATCCTCTTCATTGTCTGAGTTCTTTGAATATGATATGTATGAATTAAGGTTAGTTTGAATACACCTGAAGTCTGTCAATGCATTT